GGGCGCTGCGCGCGGCAAGCTTGCCGGGGTGTGGCCGCAGCGAGAGCCCCCGGCGGACGCCTAGTGGCGTGGCGCGGGCGCACCGGCGCTCCCGCGCCCGCGAGAGCAGCCGGAGTGTGTCGGCCGGGGAGCCTCCGGCGGGCCTGCGGCGCGGGGCGCTGCGCGCGGCAAGCTTGCCGGGATGTGTCGGCCGGGGAGCCTCCGGCGGACGCCTAGCGGCGTGGCGCTGCGCGCCGGCGCCGCCGCCATTCGAACGAGGCGACTGCATCTTCGACCGCATCTTCTGCGTATATTTCGCGCCCCTATAGCGTCGCGGAGGAGCAAAGGACGCCCGATTAGCGCTGCGCGCGGCCGGGCAAAAAGAAAAAATTAGGTTCGGGAAAAAATAGTCGGCACAACCACGTCGTTTCGCATGTCGTGCGCCGACGCCAGCGACTCCTGCGCGGCTTGGGCATCCGCCGGGGAGTGCTCTGCGAACCCATCCTTCATGCGCTCGAGCTGTGCCCTCTCGTGTGGCACATGCTGTGGCGACACGATTGCCGGGTGCTCGCTCCTCGCTGAGCAGGAGCTCTGCGTGCGGCACACGCAGTTTATGTGGAAGTACTGCGCTGGGAGCTGCGGGCGATGCCAAGCCGCGCCGCCTGCGAGCGAGGTTTGCGTCGATCAAGAGCTTGCGTGCGCCAGCTGGGCGGGTCGTGGCGACTGCGGCGGGGTTGAGGACTGGTGTGCTCTTAGCTGCGCGACCTGCGAACAGTCTGAGTCTGTTGTAACGACCGCCGACATTACGCTCGCTGCAGCACTGCCACGGCCGCCCATCATCTATGGCACCGCTTGGAAGGGCGCACACACCGGCGAGGCTGTAGTTGCAGCTGTCCGCGCTGGATTCCGAGGGATAGACACGGGTGGGCAGCCTCGTCACTACGATGAGGCGGCGGTCGGCGAGGCCATCGCGCGGCTTGTTGACGAGGGCATCGCGCGGGAAGATCTCTGGGTGCAGACCAAGTTCACACCGGAGGAGTGGCAGGATGCGGCGACGCTGCCCTTCGAGGCGGGCGCTGCTCCCGAGCAGCAGGTGGCGGCGTCGGTGACAGCGTCCCTACGAAAGCTGCGCATGCCGTACGTGGATGCTCTCATCCTCCACTCGCTCGACGGCCGGGAGCCTGCGACTCTGCTGCGCGAGTGGCGTGCTCTCGAGGCGGCCCACGACGCCGGCCATGCGCGCTGGCTCGGGCTGAGCAACATCCACTCGGTCGCCACGCTCGCCCGACTACACGCGGCGGCTCGAATCAAGCCCGCGGTGCTGCAGAACGCGTTTTGGGAGCGCAGCAGCTTCGACGCCGACGTGCGGAGCTGGTGTGCGGCGCAAGGCGTCGTGTACCAAGGCTACAGACTGATGCAAGCGGCGGGGCGACTCGAGAGCTGGCCGGGCTTCTCCGCCACGGCAGTGGCGAGCAACAGGACATGCGCACGGGGCGAGGATATCCTGCTGCGTGTCTCAGCATCCGCGGCTGGCTGAATAGGCGCTGAACGCGACATCGCTTTCGCTGTGGTTTGCGCTCGTGGGCGCGCTCGGCGTGCTTCCCCTCACGGGCACCAGCTCACACCTGAGCGAAGCGATAGCGGGAGTGTCGCTGCGAGTCGACGCTGGGACGGTGCAGCGGCTGCGGCCCACCGAGGACCTCGGTGGAGCACTTGGTGGTGGCAGTGTGCGTCGATAAGTTGAAAGCCGCAGCGTCGTGCCGACATACATTCGTGCCGTTGGCATCGGCGCCACCGCCTCCCACGCGTTCGTCGCCGCGTCGTACCGCTCCACCAGCTAAGGAAGCGGTCGTCGTCGCTCGAGTGCGGCCGCCGAGGCCACCCGAGTGGTTGGACGAATCGACGTCCTCGAGCAATCTACGACTGCAAAGCTCCGCGACGCGACAGAACTCGGGCAGGCACTGCGTGCTCAGGTGGCGGAGGTGCAAGCGCACGTGGCAAAGCTCGACGCTGCAAACCGGCTCGTCAGCGCGCTGCAGGCGCAGGTGACGACGCTTCAGGCCCGCGTCGCGGAGCTTGAGCGGCGGCCAAAGCTGTCTGGCAGCGGCAGCTCGCGGCCGGCCACTTGCGACGAGATGGAGGCGAGGATTGAGGCGCTCGGCG